CCTTGTAAAAAGTTGATACAGTTGAACTTATTAAGCGGCCACCTATTAAACGGTCACCCCTATTAGGCAGCCAGCAATCAAAGTCCCAATGATGGCTTTTCTATTTTTTCTACCCCTATTAAGCGGCCAACCCCTTTTAAGCGGCCACAGTCCATTTCCCCGAGGATGGCCGTTTAATAGGGGTTCGACTGTATATACTTAACCGAATTAAGCAATTATCCAGATCTACTAAGTAAACCTATCGGTCTAAAAACCTGCTCAGGCTAAATATAATAATAACATAATAATGAAATCGTCTAATTCCAAACGGAAATCCAATATATTATCCGTCGCGGTTCACGTTCTCCAAAGTACCCAGAATTTGGTCATTTCACGTTGTTACTTTGCAAGAGACGGCTAAGAAATGTACAAAGATTTTTAATGCACGTGCATACCCACCGTTATGTTCATTAAACCTTTTGATTGGTGATGCTCTCATTCGCGTTACCGTCGTAGTTTGATTAAGTTACGCCTGCCATATGGAAATTTCTGCGACGGCGCCGAACATTCAAATATTTTTTTATTGCATAAGAAAAACTCTTTCGTTGAACGTTTTTCGGAAATATTGTTTAGAAGTTTATATTGTTGTGAAATCAAGGAAAGGTGGCAATACCGGCCGATCGATCGAACAAGATGGTCGACGGAATTTATACACAAAATATGTTACTTAAAGTGGAACAGAAGAGTATAAAGACGTAAACCTGCCTTGATTTAGGGGACGTTGCGGTCATTTCTTTTGAGGAAGCGGCTCTCAAGAGTCTACGTTTTCCTCTCTGTGTAAGCAATAGTTAAAAACGGGTGGCAAGTAAGTAAGTAAATAAGTAAGTAAGTAAATAAGTAAGTAAGGAAGGAAGGAAGGAAGGAAGGAAGGAAGGAAGGAAGGAAGGAAGGAAGGAATGAATTTATTTAACGTTAACAATACGGGGAGTGCCACCGCGGTCTCCAGAACCAGAGTGCTTAACAACAATAATAAACTGCTAATAAAATCTATGAAGTAAAGAGTAACTTGAAGTTGGGTCAGTTAAATAAGATTTAAGAAGTATACTGCACTAAAATGTGGGCAAAAAATACTGATTTATTAAAGAAAACAC